CAGTTGGTGCCCGTTGCCCTGTGTGCTGTCACTGGGCACCACTGAAAAGAGTCTGGCCCTATCCTCCTGACACCCACCCTGAAGACGTGGGTTTATAAGGTCCCCTCTCAGCGTTCTCTTCTCCAGGCTGAACAAGCCCAGCTCCCTCAGCCTTTCCTCGTAGGAGAGATGCTCCTGTCCCCTCCTCATCCTCGCAGCCCTCCGCTGGACTCTTCCCAGTAGCTCTTCATCTTTCTTGAACTGGGGACCCCAGAACTGGACAGAGTACTCCAGATGGGGCCTCACTAGGGCAGAGTAGAGGGGGAGGAGAACCTCCCTCGACCTGCTGGCCACACTCCTCTTGATGCACCCCAGGATCCCATTGGCCTTCTTGGCAGCCAGGGCACACTCACATAAGGTTACATGAGCGGTTTCGCTGTAGCTGGAGCAGAGGCAAACACACACCAAGAGCTCGCTGCAGGGGTTGTCAGGTGTGATGGGTCAGCGCCCAGCCTTCCCTGGGAATCCCAAGCAAGGAAACCACAGATAGGTGGCAATAGGCTCAAAAATACTTCTAGCTAATGTAAGGAAATACCAGAGTTGTCCTCGCTGTTCAAACAAGTCTTACGCACCCAGGAGACTGAGCATGAAAATCACATTAAAAAAAAATAATCCTAATATATTCAAAAAAGGAACAAATATATAAAGCTGAACTGCCATACCTGAGACCTCAGACAATTCCAGTTTTAAGGTGCTGTGGGCCCAAAAGGAGCAAATTCATTGCTGGCTGTCTTTAAGGTTTCCTAAACCATTTATATGAGAACAGGCTGGGGCTGTACGGGGGAAAACCCACCGATCTTCCCCCCAAAAGCTCACTCTGGGCATAGAATATTTATGCTAGAAGGAAAAATTGTGCAGCAAGGTGCTTGCACTGCTCCCTCGCGCTGGAGTTTCCCAACTTGCAGGGGCTATAGACCATCACCTGAGAATAAAAGCAATTCCGAGGTGTTCGGGGTTGCCATGGGTCAGTGGGTACCGACCACAGCTGGGGGGAGAACAACCCTCACCTTCCCCTCCAGGCAGCGAAAGGGGCTGGTTGGGCTGCCTGGGGAGGCTGCGAGCGGCCAGCGACCCCGTGGCTGGGCAGCCTTGGACTTTGCTGCGACTGGCGAGCTGTGCCAGTTTATGCTGGGCAAGGATAAGAAACTCAGCCCTGTCCCCTCTGCCACCCCAGGAGCGTGAGGCTCTGCTGCTGGCGGAGGTGGCTTCAGGTCTGCCGAGGGTGGGCTGCACCCTGTGCCGGGGGTATGGAGGACGCAGGTGATTTGGGCTCGGGCAGAGGCAGAGAGAAGCCGTTCTGACGTGTTTGGTGTTGCAAATCTACCTTTATCTTTGCATAGAGACTCCAGCTGCTCCCCACGCCTTCCCAAGCCCCCTGCTAAAGCTGGGCTGTGCTCATGCATCCACCTCTTTTTTTAAGCCTCTTTTTTTTTTTTTTTAGCTTTTTTTTGTTTGTTTAATAGCCACCCAGCTCACGTGAGCTCCTTTTGCGAGGAGCTGTTGCAGCACACTGAACAGGGCAGATGTGCCCATACACGCACCGAGCAAACCCCGGGAACCTGCAGCCGGGCTGAGCGGGGCTCGGTCCTGCCAGACCTCTTAGGGAGAGACTCCACGGAAATCGCCCCTCGCATTCCCGCAGTAACCGTGCTGCCCTGTTCCTGCTCACAACCTTGGTCCTTTCCCATCAGAAACCGGCACGGTCCCAATGAGGTCAACCCAGAGCTGGACGGGCACCAGCAGAGCTACGCCAATGTCCAAGGAGCTCATGGAGCATCTGCACAGTTGCCAACAGGAAAATATGCTTTTCTGACAGTTGCGGCCTTTCCCCGAGGACTTACGAGTCCTTTGTGTGTGAAAGGGTCACAGCAGCTCATCCCTACCCCCTCCTTTTGTCTCTCAGGCTTAGCAGCATGAATCTTTACGAATTTGTGATTGGAGCTGCTCCTCTCTAGGGTTTCCTGTAGCTTCTTCTCGTAGCTGTTTTGCAGCTCATGGCTGCCCCTTCCCAATGCCAGTTTAGGTTTTGGCATAGTGACCAGCCAACATGCCCGGGCTGTGACCGAAGGGGCTGTCATCGGCCCCATCCCGGAGCCGACCCCACAACAGCGGACGCGGCGCAGGCACTACCAAGCGGCAGGGCACAAGCGAGTCCTCGCCCCTACCCCACCTCCCAAAAGCAAAGCATCACCCAGAGGACAACACCCCTTCATTCTCACCATGAGGATGCGCATCCCACACGCATCCCATGCACCGCTGTTAGACCAAACAGCCCCAACCATCTGAACGAAGGCAGCGTGGCTGGCGCAAGGTGGCAGGAGGTGACCTTTCCGGGGGCACACGCATGTGCGTGGACACTTCAGGCATGATCTCTAACACACTTTCACGGGTCTCTGGAGAGACTGGCTTGGTGTCACACCAGTTACCCTCCTCGCACGAGGCAGCGCTGTGATGTGCAAAGAAATGTGCTCGCTTGCTGGGGGCGATGGAGCGAACTGGTGCCGGCAGCCCAGGGCTGCCACCCCGGGGTCCCCAGCGCCAGCCCCAGCGTTAATCAGTCTGCGCGGTGGCCGCTGTGGACCCCTTAGCCTGTCGCCGAGGCGCGGAGCGGTGTCGCGGCCAGGGCCAGGTTCCCATTCCCGGTTTGACAGCGCCACCTCGTGAGATGGACCCATGCGCGGGGACCCGCGGGGACAGGCAGGCTGCACTCCTTACCTGTGTGTTAACCCGCCTTCTTCTCCTTCCCTGGGCAAAGAGCCAGCCTTCCTCCTCTCCAGCGATCTGTAACTTGTCCTGAAAGTAGGGAATAACCCCTGTTTTCTAGAGGAAAGATGGTGAAAATTGATATTTAGTACTGACTGGCTGAAGGAGCTGGGCTTGTTCAGCCTGAAGAAGAGAAGGCTGAGAGGGGACCTTAGCAATGCTTATAAATATCTGCAGGGTGGGTGTCAGGAGGACGGGGCCAGACTCTTTTCAGTGGTGCCCAGCGACAGGACAAGGGGCAACGGGCACAAACTGAAGCAGAGGAAGTTCC